GGCAGAGCACAGATAGCCCGTTGTGTAGCTTTGTGCTTAATTACAAACAAACAAATTTATAAATAGTATTCAAACAGAAACGCACTAAGTAGCCTCGCGACATCACGAGACAACAATATAAAACGTTAGGTTAAACCATTTAACACCATCAGGAGCGCTGCACCCATTACGCATAACACCCAAATCTGCGCAGTTCAATGGTGTAAAAAGATAATTAAAATCAAATAATAACAATAAATAATATTGTTATAATAAATAATTTAAAAGCAATAAAAAGAAAAATTTAATATATATATATATACTGGTGTTTACTAAACTTTCTTTTGATAAAGTTCTCAATCATTAAAGCATAAAACCTAGGAGCCCCCTTGACCCCCACAACTTCTCCTTGTGTATATATATTTTTTATAAACCCAGACGCTTTTATTCTCAGACACATGATAAAAAAACCCTGCTGACTCTTAATCTACAATATTTATCTCATTAAACAAATTACTTCAAACTGTTAGTGTACTTATAGTTAGGTTGGTAATATACACAGTCGTCAACTGTCCCTTTTTTATATTATACTATTTTCAAAGCTTCTGGTTCAAGATAATACAAATATCATACCCGGCCTTGTATCATACAGTTATATACAAAATCCTAGCCTCCAGAAAAAAAATAAAAAAATTGGATTTTCGAAGCGAAAGCCCTCGAGTGACGTGTTTCAGTAAGCAAAATTGTAATTGGACGTATTTTTAAGCTTGAACCAAGATCTCACCGATGCACGTGTAACAGTACAGGTTAAACTAAGACAAAGAGGATTCGGTGAGTGGCTGAAAAAAAAACTTATTTGTAACAACGTTTTAGATGACGGATAAAAACGTTGTTTTCAGATATGCAATTTTTATGTAATAATAAACAAGTTGTCCTATTTTAACTTTGAAAACCAACAGCGGTTAGACCAGTAACACTGTTGTTGTTGTCTATGACGCATTTTGCTTTTGCCTCGCATTTTTTTAAATGTATAAGAAAGAAGCGCATTTATGTATACGTAAGCCATTCGATAAACGTTTTGTACAGTACGTAAGCGAGACTTAGTCTGGTTGGCATGGTGACTCGCCCAACGTGTGTGCAACCAATCAGGTATGTACAAGTTGACGCGCTGGTAAGTGTGTTGTGCCATGTATTCACTGGTTCCATTTTTATAATTGCATACCTGGGGAGGTCAGCTGTACACGGTGTCACGTTGTCCACCGAGTAACGTGATATAACTTGGAGCAAAGGCAAACAAGAAAAGAGCCGACTTTAACGGAATGCTTACATACAGGTGTTTGGTAGGCTGATTCCCAAAGAAAGCTTTCTGGTACTCTTTTCTTTCCTAACTCTGAAATGAGATTCGAACTCCTTGCGATATTTGGAATTCCAATACCCACTAGTTTTCAGGCTAAGAGGGAATGAAACCCATGCACTCCAACTAAAATCCCACACAAAACACAGTAGCGGTCGCACATATTGCGCATTACAAGATATGGTTCCTCAGCTCTATAAAGCCGTTTTATCCTCGGGATTTGCGAAGTCTGTCAATAGAGATGGCCGAGGAAGGCTCATCGTGATATACTTTCTGTAGTAAGATGATTAAGTGCGGTGCTTGCCTGAGCATGAACACATCTTCTATTGTTTGCATGAGGAACACAGTCCGCCCCCCTACTGTCACTGAGCATACCAAATTTAATAAACAGGACAGACAGTTTATGTTAAACAATCTTAGTCACAATGACAGAACCTTTATACGGGTAATGTTTGAGCAAATAAGACCTATTCTTCGACATGACAGTTTTAATCGTTGTGTGGCTCACAACACTATTAGTAACAACTTCTAAACGTTTACGTACATGTATACAGTAGATCTGGATTCAGAGCTGCGTATTACATAGGCCTGGTGGTTAGGGCGCTCGAGTCGCAGTCTGCTCGTCCTTTCAGCCGTGGGAGCGTTATAATGTGACGGTGAATCCCACTATTCGTCAGTAAAAGAGTAGGCCAAGAGTTGGCGGTGGGTGGTGTTGACTAGTTGCTTTCACTCTAGTCTATTAATTCTAAATTAGGGACGGCTAGCGGAGGTAGCCTTCGTGTAGCTTTATTTTTAAATTATGGACGGCTAGCGAAAGTAACCGCGTAGCTTTACTTCTAAATTAGGGACGGCTAACGAAAGTAACCTTCATGTAGCTTTTCGCGAAATTCAAAGTAAACCAAACTATATTACATTTCGTTTTTTTTTTTTTAGATTTCCTTTTACCTCTGTAAAATAAAAAGAAAGATACAAACCTCAAATTCGTCGGATTTAATCTTTGAAGGTTGTCGCAAAGTGAAAAATGTTGTATAGATCGGTTAAAATATAAAGGAATAGCAAGCCTTAATTTTGTAAACATATTTTATCTTTTACCCCTAGTAAAATCGTATAGACCCCCTAAATTAGGAGAGGAGTTCAAGCTTTAAAAAAAAAAAAGATTTATGGGCGTATTAGATCAAGGTATATTCCCTCCAAGTTTTAAAACAATCAATCCAGAAATAATGTAATAAAATTGTAATTATTGTACAGAAAAAGTAAACATAAAAAATAACAAATTCTCCCTTCCCATAACGAAGACATAAGGACAGCTTAGCTAAGTAAGCTTGTAGTTGCCTTGAGGTGAAAACATAAAAGTCATTTATAAACTCCCCTACATCTTTATTAAAGTCAACTGAAATGAGATCCAGCTTTGTATACACTGTCAAAATATGTACTCTTACTAACCTTGTGGCCAACATTAGAGTAGTCCCCCGGTGGGACAGTGGTAACTCGCGGACTTACAACGCTAAAATCCAGGTAACTCAATGTGGCTTCGCTCTGAAACTCTGAAACAAACAAACAATCATTAAACTTAATATCTAAGTAAACAATAATATAATGTAACTAATTAACGCAGCTCTCCAAAAGTTCTTAAAAGTAGAATTTACTAAAGGTATATTTTTAAACACAACTAAATAAAAACGTTTTTCTTTTTTTTTTTGAATTTTTTCTACTAGTAAGGAGGATAACAGTGAGAGTAACAGCACACAAAAGTATATTCAATTAGCTATACTGATGGCCAGGTTCATTTTTAGTTTAAATATACGATGCTCTAATTAATTAAATGTTATCAAGTACTGAGTAATTAAATATGATTAATTACTAAATATTTAAACGTGATGAAGACGATTCAATTTCAACAGAATCATAATAACAGTTAGGCCTAGTTTTTACTTATTTTAAACATAATTTAAAATTTCGTGAAACAGACGCATGTACAACACTAATATATGGAATTGTGGCCCAGCGGTATGTCTGCGGACTTACAACGCTAGAAACCGGGTTTCGATACCCGTGGTGGGCAGAGCATAGATAGCCCATTGTGTAGCTTTGTGCATAACTACAAACAAATATATATATATAATTAAAAACCAAAATCAATGATACATTTTTCGTGAACTTCTTAATATTAACCTAGTTGTTGACTAGCTACATTAAAGACGACTAGCGCAGATGGCCCTCGTGTAGCTTTGTGCGTAACTACAAACAATTATATATATAATTAAAAAGCACAAAGCTACACGAGGGCCATCTGCGCTAGTCGTCTTTAATGTAGCTAGTCAACAACTAGGTTAATATTAAGAAGTTCATGAAAAATGTATCAATTGATTTTGGGAAATTCAGCAAACGTTACATATTCAACAAATTGTTGGTTAGTTGATAGAAACTACTGAGTCTTTAGTAGTTCCCACTTTAGGACGTTTTGTTCATTTGTAGTTAAACATAAAGCTACATAATGGGCTACGTGTATCGAAACGAGAATTCTAGCGTTATAAGTCCCTATGTCATTAGGGGCTTTTATGGCATCGGTGAGAAATATAGCATTTTATCTATATAGAATTGGAATTTTCAACCTGTGTTGCTCCTTGTGCGCACGTGAGCTGAACAATTACTGGTCACAAGGTAGACAACAAGTTGGAAGCACCAGCCGCCACAAGAGCTTTGTCTGGCACTTTTGAACAAATTAATGGGACTGTTTTTGTTATTTTTGTATAATGCGTCCACAAGTGAAAGCGCGGAGCGTGTGCAGTGACATCGCGTCTCGAACCATGGACCCTTCGATACGTAACCCGGCCCCTGATCGACATCTTGGACACTTGTGACTCTAGAATGCTAAAGTCGCCGTATAGAAATAGAACGTTTTAATAAACCTGTTAATTTGTGGCACGAGGTTACGTCTTGATTTTAATGTTTTGTAAGTAGTTTCGAAATTGAATCTCGGACACCAGCTTTATTGTTATTTTGTTAAAACTCCCCCAGTGGCAAGCTTGGAAGCCTATAACGCTATAAACTGGCTTTCGATACCCATTGGTGGCACAACACAGATAGCCCTTTGTGTGGCTTTGGGCTTAACAACAAACAAACAAACACATTTTTGTTTAATTTAATACCATGTTCACAGTTTCACTTTTCCAAAGTGTAAAAAAATTAACCCCAGTATATAATTTATAACTCTGAACAGCGTTTTAAAATGAGGAAAAATTTGTTATACAAAACACAGTTTATAAATGGGGCTACTCCAACACTTAAATATTCAGGTAACGGCTGCTGTGAAGGTGTTACTGACATCTCCGTCCAGCTGCTCGGAACATTATGTCGAGATCTAGAAAAGGAAACCTTCCCTTGGCCGTTTCTAAAAGCCACATAAATCAGATTAAAGCAAGACTCAAGCCTAATCTAAGTGAACAAAGAACGCTAGACAGTCCTTGTTTAAACGATAAGCCTACCACATGATTAAATTTATCACAACCTGGCGGGAAGAGGAATAAACCTTTTCCTAATTTGTTTTTGTTTTTAGAAAAGACAACACTTCAAGTAATTTACCCGTCTATAGATGTTGGTGAACATGCCCAGTGGATGTTTCTAGTGATCATCATGTTTTTCAGAGAACGTTTCCAGTGGGCAATTCTGCTGGTCATCATGTTTTTAAGGTTGTTTCTTTTGTCTAGCATGTTTCCCAAAATTATTTCTGGTGGATATTTCTGTTGGTCAACGGTTTTTTTTCTCTAAGAATGTTTCTTCGGGTTAGCAGGTTTCCCAAAGATGTTTCTAGTGATCATCATGTTTTTCAGAGAACGTTTCCAGTGGGCAATTCTGCTGGTCATCATGTTTTTAAGGTTGTTTCTTTTGTCTAGCATGTTTCCAAAATTATTTCTGGTGGAAATTCTGCTGGTCAACGGTTTTTTTATGTATTTGATTTTTGTTGTTTTCTGGATCATAATGAAGTTCAAGTGGTCTAACTGTAGATCTTACGTATCCCATCGTGTGTCAGTGGTGTAAGTTCACGGGCTTACAACGCTAAAAATGGGATTCGATTCCTCGCGTAAGACAGCGTGCAGATAGCACATTGTGTAATTTTGCACTAATAAAACAACAATGTCGTATCTCAAACGGTCTGAATAACTCTAGTATTGTGCAAAAGGCCTAATCGGAACTTGATGTAACAGATACAGTGCTGTCTGAACTGGATATAACAGGTATAGTGCTGTCGGAACTGGATATAACAGATACAGTGCTGTCGGAAGTGGATATAACAGGTATAGTGCTGTCGGAACTGGATATAACAGGTATAGTGCTGTCGGAACTGGATATAACAGGTATAGTGCTGTCGGAACTGGATATAACAGGTATAGTGCTGTCGGAACTGGATATAACAGGTATAGTGCTGTCAGAACTGGATATAACAGATACAGTGCTGTCGGAACTGGATATAACAGATATAGTGCTATTGACATATTACACACGTTACTTTCACTCGGAACTTATTATTTATAATAGAGTAAGACCTCTAATCCCTTGTAGAGATCTGTTTTTGTACAAAGTTAACTGAAATTATCCAAGTTTTGAGTTTATTAACTTGGTTTCAATCTCAAAAGATTTTCACTGTTTAAGTACATCAGAGATTTAATGTTTGCAGACGAGAGAATTTATGATTAATTAATTCTGATTTTAATTTGGAGTGCAAGTGAGAGTGCCATTGTCAACATCTGAGAGGAGGCACGAAATGTATCCGTGGAATATTCTTATCAAAATAATGGTGTCGAGTTGTTTATAAAGAAACTTTTGTATGTTATCTATCATTAACGGAAGAGAATTACAACTCCAACCAAGGTCATTTGGTTTACCTTCGTTCGTTCAATGTGTTCTATTTACATTTTTCCACTTTCACGCTAAAGCTTTACGTAATTTCAAACCCGTCTCGTAAACTAAATTGGATATTTTAATGAAACGGGCCAGATTCATTGTATTTATTACGCTATGTTTGTTATCATTGAATATATTTAGTGAGATAAATGTTTCGTGTACGTTATGTTAGAAGCTTAATTTTGTGTTAAGTCATTCTTGAAATTAACTGTAAGACGGGCAACTTAACTTTCCCCTTGGAAGGAAAAAGAAAATATGTTTTTTTTTAAAGTTAATTTATTTCAATGGCCATTAATTTATGTACTGCTTACTAAACAATTGGCAAAATTAACAATGATGAATTTCATTGCAGGTCATTGTTCATCTCTTAACTTTCAATTATTTTGTTAACAAGTTTATGCGATGGCGTGTGTGCATTGTTGTTTCATTAATTAGTTAATGGTGAACGTGGACTGAAGGCAGTATTAGTTAATGGTGAACATAGACTGTAGACAGTAGTAGTTATTAATAATTTGATTAATTAGCAAAGTTTGTTAGTTAATGGTGAACGTGGACTGTAGGCAGTTACTGCCTCAGGGCCGTCGTTACTATTAATTAATATTACTTTTAATCCATTATTACGATACTCTCTGGACTCGGCTTTCATATCAGTTATCTTGTGACTTTTTGAAATACCAGTTGAAAAGCTGAAGACTGAATGGTGAGTGTTCAGCTAAGTAAGATATCGTGTCAACAAGTTTACAGCTTAAACTCACACACCTGGCACTAGATGTCCTTGTTTAATGGTGGTGATATTTATCTTTTCCAGCCACGTGCAATTCAATAGATTCAATACATTATTCGTGCGGATTTTTTATTTGAACTCAAAGACTCGGATCTTTGATGATAGGCTCACTTCCTTTGAAGTCACAACACCATGGAAACGTTAGTTGGATGTTCTCAAAAAGGAGGTAAAATAGTAGTTAGTTAAAAAGTCATTAGTTTTTTTTGTCGTCAGAACCGACCGAACTTCGACAATGCAACGTCAAGTGTTAAGAACAAAGAAAGAACTGTTCGATAATCTTTTAATATTGCCAAAAAAAAAGAAATAAAAAGTATTCTTGGTAGATTAAGACTTATTCAAGAACATACAGATTTATAAACTGAATTTAAAAAGAACTTAGATTTTTGCCTATTTTGGGGGACTTCTTTTTTTTAAATCAAAAATACGATGAAATGAACGGTAATTTGGATCATTGGCTTGCTACTAACCGTTAGTGTATAAAAAAATACATCTGAAAAAAAAATTTAAAAGTAATTTAAAAACGGCTGTTAGCTGTAATTTTAATGTGCTGTACTTAATTTAGGCTTAACAAGAGAAAAACCTTGGAAATTGAGAATTCAAAATGATACTGTTAGTTAAACCTCGTTTATGAGATATGGATAATCACTCTTCTTTAGTTAGATATTATGTTAAAACAGATTAAAATGTATTGTTGTTAGTCAATTATTTCTAATTAGTTTATAAGAATCTTTAAAGTTCCATGAGTTACACTACTTCTTAAAGTTCTCAAGTCAAAGTAGCCTCATAACGCGCCCTCTGGTGTGTGGAACCAAACTTTTATTTTCGCTGTTATATATTAGTAAAAAAAAAAAAAGTTAATCGGTTAGTTCTTTACCT